TTCTGTTCGTTAGTTTTGTTAGGGAAATCCGTGGTTGTTCATTGCTTTATTCTTGAAGTCATGGATTGTGTCGACTTTAATCTTGGAAGCACTTGAAGTTCTTGAATTTCTGGACAAAAATCTTGAATTTCTTGAGCTTTCGTGAACAATTTCGTGAGAATCTTGAAGTTGTTGGATCATACAATTAGGTTTCTTGAAAATCTTGAACCAAAGTTTCCAAACCTTGAACTTTTAAAACCCTAAGTTCATCTTCTTGAACTTGAACGTGTGGCTGTTTTGTGTTTCTTGAATTGGCAAGCTGAAAAGGAAAGAGACAAGAATCTGATTTTGATCTGTGAAAAAAAGAGCCAAATTCTTGAATCGGATCATAAGTCTTGAGTTTGGAAACAAGAAGACAATTTGGAATTGGAAACCGAAAGTGAGTTGGAATTTTGTTTCCAAAAGCTAGACATACAATCTTTGTTGGGTTTGGTTTCCTTGTTCCAGCTGCAAAAATCCAAAATACACTTAGGAAACATCCCTTAAATAGCATCTTGCTTTGTAGGTTGATTCCAAAGGCCATTCTGATCAGGTGTCCAAATTTCCAGCCAAGCATGCAATCGGGTAGAGCTTTCTAGGTTCCAAAATTTCTGTCAAATTGTGTCTTATTGTTCTAGTCGATTAAATTGAATTGTCCAGCGTTATATGGTTGGGTTTTGAGTCATTGTTCCAGTTTATATTCGAGTCTAGTTGGTCCAAAACAAGTCCAAATCAGTTTTGGATTTTAAGAGTCAATAGTTTCCTAATTCGAGTCTTCCTTGTCCAAGTCAAACACCTTCTAAATTTTGTGTCATTCTTGTCCGAGTTAAACCAGGTTTTGTGGAGTCAATTTCCAATAATAATTCAAGTGTCTTTTGTGTGTTAAATCAGGTCCAAAACCCGCACTAAATTAGCATCAAATCAGTTCAGTCTTGACCAAATTGCTTAGAGTTTCATCGAGTCTTTCTAGTCATTCTTCCACAAGTGAATCTGTGAATTTCCGATGTACTTTCTGTACTTTGAGTCATTAAAATCAGTCCAATTCGTGTTCAAATCTCAACTCAAAATGAACCAGATTCATATAATTACTTCCTTGTACGTTGTTGGCAATAAGTCATTGAACTACTTAAAAAATTTATGATTTCTTCAAATAAGGAAATGAACAACTTAGAGATTTGCTTGGTGAGATTATTAGAGTGTCTCAAACACTTGAGTGATACATGAGTGTGAGTGCATACACATGAGGGTGTGTTGTGAGGAAATCTTTTCTTGGTTTTGCTAACCATTTTTGCAGGTTAAAGATGTCCATCAAAGGGAGTTTCCAACAAGTTGAATTTAATCTTAGTATGGAGGATATGATGGGTGACTTTAAACATATTTTGCATGAAGCTTTCGAGGCTCTTCATAGACATCTTGAACGAATGGTGAACAAGGTTGTCAAGAGCAAGGGTTCCACACAATCTAGCCATGATCAAAGGCCAAATCCTGAGTTTCATACCCTCAAGGAGGAAATGGATCATGATCGTGCAGTAAGAGTTTTATGAGAAATATAATGGTACTCGTGATGACTTTAAGGAGAATCAAAGGTGAAAGTGCCAAGCATCTAAGAAGAGTTCATCCTCAACTAAATCAGTTTGTTCATTTGAGAAGTCTCTTGAACTAAACTGAGCTAAAGAGCTTAAGAGTTCTTGGAGTTAGGTCGACATATAGTGAGATAAAGGAGGAAAGACCACTCAAAATGGAAAAGAAGTAGATTACATCAATTTCCGCCAAGACTAAGCATGCAAGTACATCAACCATAGATGAAGAATTTAGTTGAGTAAGGGAGATGTATTAGCACCTCCCACAACCAAAAATTGTGGAAGAGCGAGTTGAGCGTGGTAGTGAGAAGTGTGAGGTAAAACTTGAGAGTGTACATGAGGTAAAAGTCGAGGAAAGTGTCAAGGCAAAAGAAAGTGAACATTCAAAAGATTTGAGTGAGAAAAATCCTACAAATGGTTCAACCATAGTGGAAAAACAAGAGGGAAAGCAAACGCTTATTGCAAAATTTAGGATGTGAGGAGAGTTTATTTTTGCACTAACAATGTTAACTTTGCGATGTTACTGTTTCTATTTTTGTGTAGGTTAAGCGATGTGTTATTGTTATGATATTAAATTGTTCCATTCCTATATCCATTGGAGAGTTAAAGAGCGTTCATGGCGTTGGAGTGTGTTAAATCTCTTTGTTATCAACAAATGATCAATTTCCCACCTAGAGTTGATTTGTTTGTTGGTGATCCTCTTGAAGTTTTCAAGGGAGTAACTATACTTGAATTTTGTTCTATAGTTCCTTATCATTCATCTAGTGATACTCTAGTATTTTGCTTCTCAAATTTTTGTGATTTGTAAAGCTCATTCATATGTTTCTTTGAAGGAATTGTGTTAGATCAAGGGCTACCAACTTTAAAAAATGAAGTGCTAAAGGGAGTAAATGCTGTCCAATCCCGAAATTCATCATTACTTCATGAAATTTCCTTACTTAATCTTCCAAATTCTGGTTCTTTACATGATGAAATTTGTTTCTTGTTTGCTGATTGTAAAGCTGTCCATTCTTATCTTGTTTTATCCATGCAATATGTGCTAAATAAACATCAACTAGTGATGAATTATACAACTTTGCACAATCAGATTAGTGTTTTTTCTAGTCTCATTGAACATCACTATAAAGATCCTTATCTAGTGCATGTGAATGTTAAATTTTCGTGTGATTTTATGCCTATAACTACTAATGTGTGATTTATTGTGGAGGTCCAAATTTGACATTCCATGACAAAAGTCTGGTTAAAGAGCTTTGGAGTGTTATATGGAATTTCCACAAGCTTTATACTAGATATTTCTTATCTTGGAGGATGTCCTTGTTCGAGAGCATCAAGAGGCTAACCAAATAGCATGTAACGTGGCTTGTAGTCATTCATCTATTACCAACATTGCTATCCTATTAATGCACTATCGATTTGTGGACAAATCTCTTTCAAGAGGAGGGGAATGATGCCAACATAGTACCCGGTGGTTCCTGTTCAAAACATACAAGTGGTTGATTAATTGAAATCCAACATTCCAGCCATCGCTTCCTTAAGTTTAATGTGTTTATTTAGCTTATAATTGTTATTTAGTCTTGTTGTCATTTGTTTTAATTAATTCCAGCCGTTAGTTAAGTTAATTCCAGATTGGTTTAATAAATGGCTAAGGTCATGTTAACCATAGTTGAGTCGAATTAGAGTTAAGTTTAGTGTAGCCAATTTATCGTTAGGCTTAGATAAAGTATTTTCTAATTTAGTTAGGTTTCTTGAGTCTTGTAAAGGCTATAAATAAGCCTTAAGTTTGATGTTTTTGATGGCCAAGATGAATTGAAGAAATTTCCAGCAAAACACTTTGTGTTTAGCAAGTCTCTTGTCTAAGAGATCTTACTTGAATACTTGAAAGGATTCTTGTGTTTTCAATTGATTTATCAATCCAGAAATGCACTAGATTGTGGCATCACTTTACCCTTCTAATATGGTCTTGAACTGTCCTTGATCATTTAGAATCTGCCCTCGAAACTTTGATACCATATTCTAGATCCTTGGGCTTGTGTGTTACGGGTTGTGTGTGAGATAGAGTGCAATTTGTATCATTCGGACTCTACAAGAGCCATCGCAATTGGGAACATTTGGTTGTTACTATCTCTACTGTGAGATCCCGAAATTTATTGGGTTTTTCATGATCTTGTTTTAGAATTGAAGGTATTATGTTTACTTGTTACTTGTTCTGATGAATTGTAGCCTTTTGAATCTAGTTTCCAATACCATAAACCATTCTCAATTTGAACTTGTATTGAGTGAGTGGTGTTCTGAGTTCGAAAGTGTAGCAAAGCTGCAAAAGTGGAAATCTTTCTTTTCTTGCTAGCCAAATGGTTAGGTTAGTTTTGGAATGTATTGTTTTGAAAATTTTGATGTCAAACACCCATCCATTGCTCATCAAATGTTTATAGACCCTTGGTTTCAAAGACGGAGTGGATTGGGGTTGGTTTTAGTGGACAAAACTTTTGGAAAAGAAGGAGAACTAAGGTTGGCAGACTTACTTTAAAAATTTTCCCAAACTTTGGTCATTTCATTAAATGATTTTCCATGGGATTTGTTACGTGAAATTGGATAGAGAAGTAGTTCTCATATGGAAGTTTAAGTGTACCAAATTTGGTGTAATTTCAATGCCATTTCGATATCCAAATGATGCCCCAAAGATTGCTTGGCAAATTTGGAACTTCACTATTCTAGTGGTGAATTTTAACCAACTTTAGACTGTGACATCTTCTTCCTAAAAACTCCAAATTTAGTTCCATTTCTAGTGTTTGAAACCTTGTTTGGAACTCTTATTGTGTTACGAATTTCAAAGGCTAGTTCACTTTCTGTGAATTTTTCCGAATTTCCAAAGATTGCCGAAAAACAAGACTGAATCTGCCTCGCTTGCTCAGATCAGCCACTTTGGGATGAAAAAACGAATGCCTTCAGTTTAGAATCTTGGAAAAATGTCTTCTAGGAAATTTTAGTACTTTGAACCTAGTTTCCAACGGTGTAAAGTTTTCCATTTTTGGACGTGCCAAACTCAAGATTCGATTTTCCAAAGATCATCATGCAAAGCTGAAATTTCCCAATTTCTTATGAAATGAGATTTTGAGAACTCGTTACTCTTTCTTTTACATTCAATTTCATGGATGTACTTGGATGTACTATTTTAAATAACTTGGATGTACCCTATATTAGTGTTGGATCAACCTTTATAGAAATGAAAACTAGAATAAGAAATTAGTAGGAATATAACATGAGAATATAGAAGTGAGGGGTAATTGTTAGAATAACTCTTGACCAACCTTGACCAAGACTAGAGTTATGTCTATCCAGTTGAAGTTTCATGCAGCTTTATTCCTCATTCTTTTTCTCTTGCTTTGGTTGGTTCTAGAGAGAGGGGAGGTGAGAGATATTTCTTCTTCATTTTTCCAGCCAAGAGAGTAGGAAAAGTCAAGGAAAGCTGCAGGAATTTTTTTCCCTTGTCCTACTCCAATTTCCCAACCGTGAGAGATATACTTCTCCATTGCCTCCATTTTTGACCAAGTCCAACTAGCATGCAAGTTGACTAAGCCAAATTTACCTCTTCTTGTTTCTTTTCTTCAGCTCAACCACCGAGAGAAAGAAAAATAATGACAAACAAGACTGGTCACTTGTTTTGTCTCACTTCAGCCGAGAAAGAGTAGAGAGAGAGTTGAGAGGAAAAATTTGTGCCATCCTTCAACCTTCCAGCCGAGAGGAGCTTGAGAGAAGAATAAAGAAATTTCTCTTGTTTTGCTTCCACTTCAACCAAGAGGAACCAGAGAGAGAACACTTAAAGGAAGCTTGTGTCTTACTTCCATTTCCAGCTTGCTTGATCGGGTAGAAGGACCAAAACAGGGGAGTTAACTTCTAGCTTGTGTCAAAGGTAACATGACTTGGAATTTCAATTTCTTTCACATACTTTAAAAGGCTTTTGATGTATGTTTGGTTGAGGTTGGATTGAGGTAGAAACAGGTTGTAGAGACTTGCTTTATTGCTGGAAATTTTCCAGCTTGGATTGAACTAGGAATAACCATTTGTTTTCTAGTTTTTGGCTCTTGTTTTTCTGCAAGTTACTAGGGAATCCTTGAATCCCTTTTGATAGATGAAGCTTGGTGTAAATATAGCATCCACGTGAGCTAGTGGTTGGTCAAATGAAATTTCCATATTTGACCGAGGGAGAAACATGAGCTCAATTTACAGCTTTTCTTGTGAAATTTTGAGGAGTTTCCACTAGGAAGTTTTGCTATAAATGTTATATTTCTTGTTTCGTATGATATATAGCATGCTGTATTTGATCTTGGTAGAAAATTGCTGGCTTAGATGTGAGATTGGCAGCAATAAAGTTGAAGTAACTCTTGTGAAAGCTTGAAATTGTCCGAAGTGGGAGAGAGGAAGAGTTGAGCTTCACCTTTGGTTTTTGTTGAAATTTGATGCTTAAATTATGTTAAAGTTGCTGATATGAATGTCATACTTAAGTGTATGAGTGGTTTGAATAAATTTTTTTGTGGTTTTAAAAGAGAAAAGGAGTTTTTCACAAGTGAAAAATGAGTTTCCAGATTTTTGGCTTTCACTGACCAGTCTCAGTAAAATGCTTATATCTTGATGTAGAAAAATCCGATTGAGGTACCGTCAGTGGCATCGGAAACTAGACTCATGGGCCTTCGTTCTGTAAAAATTTCATATTTTTCCTCCAGGTGTACTGCTGTCCGTGATTCCTCAAAGTAGGCTGTCCTGCTTGAATGTCCTGTTTTTGCAGGAAAACGAATTTGTAACTTAGATGATGAATCTGCCCTGTTTTTGCACTGCCTGGTTGTCCATGGTAAAGGCCAAACCAGGTCCTGCTCAGAACATGAATTGTAGATACTTGAGTTAAATATATGCCTGCAAATTTTCAGCCCAATTGGAGCAACGTAGCTTGTGAAAAGACTGAAATACCCCTGCTGCCTTGTTTCTATCCGAACATGCTAATCAGCTTCTGTAATTGGTTGTTTTGACCAGGAATACCACTGATTTGGTTGTTGATGTCTTCTTAAGACTTATAGCCTTGAATCTTAGCTTTCAAATGGCTTTGGAATCACTTGAATTGGAGTTGTATATGTTGAGATATGACTGAATGAATCAGGACTGCCACAGTAAACATTGAATTGGAAAATCTGGGGTTATTTTGGTAAATTTGACCTAGCAACATTGTAAACTGGACTGAGTAGCCTTCATAAAATTTGTATACCTCTGTCTTAGCTTCGTAATGGTATAAATTACACCCCAATCCGATAATCGTAGCACCAGTTGTGTCCAATACGGTAAATGACGTCAAATCTGTTTTTGGGTTTTAGTGTTTAACTTTCATTTCCGGACTTTCCCTAGCTTACTTTGGTGCTTATACATTCTAATGGAGTCTTATTTTTGGTAGTATGTGGATATGGGTTATGACTCGTAAGCGAGTCTCATTGTGCTTGTTTGAATGTTTTAGGGCGTGACGGTGGTCCGAAACGCTCGTCGGGTGGGCAAGTGTGAAAATTCTGTTTGCTTACTTGGTGAGTGTACTACTCACATGATTGATACTTCTTGGCTTTGTTGTACTTGAGATACATGATTGGAATGTTTGTGTTTACTGATGATACTGGTTGAGACAAGGGTGTACTTTACCACTCTCGCACTATATGGTTTAATTGACTGTTCACTGTATCACTTGAATTGACTTGATTATACTTGAACTGTGTCATTTGGACGTGTCTCCAACGAATTATACTGTTATCACTGAGCTCAACCCCATTGGTGGTCAATTGAATCGAGCCCGTAAGGGCTTGGTCGAGGAAATTGATAAACCATGGGGACTATTATAAGGAATCATTGAGTATGAGACTCTTGGTTCCGGTATAGTCGAGTATTACCATTTATTGAACTGTTTGGAGTTCGGGCCCGGTAGGAGTATGTGAGGTGGAAGGAAATGGGAGTAAAGTGGGGTCTACGGTATCGGTACTTTTAAACATTGACGGAGCGTCAATGAGGTGAGATCAAGTATGCCAAAAGTGGAAAAGGGCTCTTGAGAGCCGACCGTATCCTTTTACAAATCTTCTTGGAATGTGATATTTGTTGTGCTTACTTGACGAACTTATTTGAATAGTGTATCACTGTGATTTTGTACCCCTTGAATGCCTGAGTGACAGTACCTCCTTGGGCGAAAGCTCACTCCATTAAATTTTGTTTTCCTTACAAGGAACAACTTTTGAAGACTGTGATATTTTGATGTACGAGTTGAGCTAGTTTTAATACATATTCTGTGTAAAGCTCCTTGATGCTTGGAAACTCTGAATGTACTTGGATCCAAATATTTTTCTTTTATTTGTAAATTACAAACGTATATGTATAAAACTATTTACCTTGTTCATGTATCCTATTTGGTTTGGAAATATTTTTCCGAGTTATATGGCTATATCTGTATTCGATTGGCATCTGGTTGGATGGTGACATGGCAACCACTATTCATTGTGGTTTCGATTTTCGTTTTGCCATTTGGCTACTTTGAATCGTTTGAGCGCGCTATTACCTTTCTGAACGTTTTCGATTTCATTTAACTGCTCGTTAGTCCTGGCGAGAGTTGGACAGGCAGTCCCCTAACCCCTTTGGTACGCCTTAGGGGAAGGTGGGGCTGTCACATCTACGAATAGCAATCATCGGATAACCCCCCATAGCTCCTTTCAAATGATATTATCCAACCCAATTACAAGTCTACAAGCATTGATAAAGCCTCATTTTTGTGCAGCAAAAATGATGAACATCCTTTTGAATATTGGGTTAGGGTACATAGCAGATGTCTCAGTCACCAAAATAACTACTGAACCTGGGTTTCTTTGCAAAATAGTAGCACAATAATATCTTAAATGAGTATATTAGTTTGAGTGTGACCCTTTTGATTGTCTCAACAGCCAAGTCCTTAGCTCTATACACTTGAGATGTTAAGCAGTTAGTTTTAAACTTTTTCTTAACAAATTTCTTGAAACCTACCATATCAATCTTTGGATGATCAACTATGTCACCTAGTAAAGTCCTTGACAACCATCTTGACTTTGCACTTCTGTTTTGGTAGGGCCAAGGGCATTCATGTGGCTCACCTTTAATTGACTTTATCTGAAGTTAGAAAACCATCATACACCCTGTATCCACACTCCTTATTATATATCACTATGGCCTTATTTTTGTCTTTTTTTTTTTAAATTTAACCTCAAAGCCATGTTTTATAGAGAATATTCTAATTACAACTCTAAAGTCATATATGTTGGTGAACACCTGCCCAACCTCCAATTTAGGATTCTCCATATCTTTTTTCCATATTAAATTCTAGAAATTCCTCTTCCATTTGCTCTTCCTCAAATGAGTCATAAGCAGCTTTTAGTACACCATCCTCACTAACATTATTAGCCTCAATCATTTTTCTTTTCCCTTTTGATTGAATATATTGATCATATTCTTCACAATCAACTATCCATACTTTACATAATTTGATTCCTGAAATTGACTAGCCCTTATATTTACTTCTTTTTCATCTATAGGGTCACATGAATCACTCAAAACATCTCCATCTAGAAATAATTCAAAATCTGAATCTAGTTCAGAATCACTTGGCTCATTCTTATCGTCTTCACCCGTATATGTAGCATCTGAACTATCACTATCATCCTCCTCATTAACTTGATTTTTCACAATAGAATTATCATTTGGTTGCCCAAAACTATCACCAACAAGGATCCCATCAGCATCATTAACTATTAGAGGCAGTTCAGTTACATAAAGATCTATGGTACTATGATTTCTGTTCACTTCAAACATTTGTAGTACAATTTGGATACCATTCACCAATACTTGCCCAACCTATCCTATAGTACACAGGGGCCTCTTCAGCAATGCCCAAGCATCTCAAACTATCTCTTAACTCAAATAGTGAACAACTTTCCTACCCACATACTCCAACATTGGTTCCCTAACAAAATAGCCTCCATGATGCACATCTAATACATATGTTTGGAAAACCATTATTCTATTAAAGAAATGTAGAACGATATTCTATTTCGGTCCCAAGAATTTTAATTCCAAATCAAGAAAATTTACACCACCATCAGCATAAAGACAAGCAAAAACAAATATAAATTTCTCAGCTGCATAATAGAGGTTAAAAAGTATCAGCACCGATTCACACCTTAGCACGAAAAAAAGACCTTATACAGTGACACACCGAATAAAAAATTAATTCAAAAATTAAATTGAAGGACAATTTTTCTGTTACCATCCTTCATTTTCAGTAAAAATTTCACTAATAGGTTGCCGACATAAAGCATGACATCTATGGACCACATTCTCAAACAACAAAGACTGTCAACCAAATTGACTATGCCATAGTATAAAACCATAAAAAAAAACAAAAAAAAGCCCTTTCATACAACAAAAGTCCCAATAATGTGTGTACTAACCTCGGAAAATATTGATTGATTTCCTTCCAAAACGAACTTTCAATAGCAAACAAAAAAGGCAACAAAATCGGCACCACTTAGAAGACCATCAAATGACCTCCATCAACTAGATTTTCATTTCTTCTTTGCAAAATATACTAGCAATTACGTGAGATCTCAACTAGGGTTTGGCTAAAGGAGATCGGGAAGGAGAAAGGGAAAGGGAAAGGTCATTGGGTTTTCCTTTTTCGTTTGAAATTCTCTTGCTTTTTTCTTTGTAAAATGAACCAGCAACATCAGGCCTCCCCACTCCATGAAGGGTATTTTGGAAAAAATATTTTTACTCAACCCGAATCCATGGGCAATTTTGTCTATCCAATGTTCTAATAGGGATACCACTGTCATTTAGCTTTCAGCCGTCAACTCCGTTACTAGTTCAATGCTTTGACTAGTAGTCAAGGTGATAAAGTGCAAAAAAATTAATATTAGGGGATAAAGTGAAAATTGCTCTAAACCTTATGGGGAGTTTTCATGATTTCCCTTGATTTGAGGCACAAATGGGACAAAATCCGTAGCTTCCAGTCACGTTATGCTTGTACGTGCAATGCAGAAGAGTCCAAGGCAGCAGTCCCCATTTTAAATCATACCCACAAAGGAAATTGTCTAGTCTGTATGATAATAAACAGCGCAGATTGCATTATTGGTCCTTCACATTTATAACTTATGCTTTTTATTGCCTCACATTTAAAGTTATGGATTTTGGTCTCCAACATATTCCAAAAACAATAATATGGTGATAACATTCTATTCTTGGACTTCTTGAATGAAAAAAAGGTCATGATAGCACCAATTGTTAATGGCGCAAGGGGTAAAATTAATAAAGATAGCATTTTTCCTCCATACACAAAAACTTGAACTTGTGACAAAACCCCTATCTACAAAATTACTAGGATAGTTTAGAAAAGCATGTCAAGTGTAAGTGAATTTCTTTTTGAAGGCAAAACTATGTGATTTTGAACATGTTTAAAAGTAAAGTCTAATCTCGTTAAGGTTGAAATCTCAAGACGTGAGGTTCTAGATTCAAATCCTCATTTTGTTTTCTCACTTTTTAAATCTCATCATTCCCTTGCTAGAATTTTTTTTAGAAAGAAAAAGTAAAATCCAATCTTAAAAATTTAGGGCACCAAGAAAGTGTAAAGTGCAAATAAAAAAAATTTGTGCAACTCTCTATAAATCACTTTTTTCAAATTTTAATTAGTTTGGAAGAGGCCGAAAGAGGAATCTTAACCCCATCAAATTCAAGACATGAACAAAATATCAGCTTGACTTTCAAAGAGAAGACAATACCGTAGCAAAGATATTCAAATGCTGCTGTAGACTTGTATTACAATTAGAGTTTGAGGGTCTGTTTTTTGAATTGAAAATATTTTCCAGAAAATATTTTTCAGATTTTCTGGTGTTTGGCAGCAGAAGACGTTAGGCAAATATTTTCCAATGTAAAATGTTTTACGCTACAGGATGTAAAATGACTTACGGAGCGGGCATACAGAAGTTAATTTCCATCAAACTCATGAAGCTTATCAGCCATTTCAGGGCTTACCTATTAAGATACTTATAACAAATAAGAATACCAATACTGAGACCATTATTAAAAATCCATCCTTGCGCCTGCTACGAAAAACCCCATTGTCTACCACTTTTCCCTCATCCTCATCTTTGCCAATCCTACTCCTTTCCGCCCAAGCCAGCATAAACAATGCATCCATGGAGATGTAGAAAATCTAAACCAAGAGCGGGTCTTGATAAGTTTTAGGGTGAGAGAAATCTGGAAAAGTGAAGGAGATAGAGTGGAGGAAGACTTTTCTGCAGAAAAGTTTGCAACCAAAATTCAAGAGCTGCTTTTCCATATGATGGTTGATCAATTATAAGGTTTTAATTACTGAAATAATTTTTATTGACATATTATTAAGTTGAATCTTCATTGGTATGATGTGTAATTGGTTTGAGAAATTATGAATTCCTTTCTGGAGTTTGATAGATTTGGAGATTCGATGAATCTCTAGTTGAGATGGTAGATCCAATGTACATGGGATGACGGTAGTTGGAGGGATTCTACTGGGGAATCTTCTTCTTGTAGGTTTTAGTTTTGTGGTGTATTTTCATAAAACTGCACCAAATACCTGAAAATAAAGGCAAAATGAAAATTTTTTCAGGAAAATTATTTTCATTGAAAATGTTCTCCTTGGAAAAAAATTTTACATTGAAACAAACGGACCCTGAATGATCAATCCCGATTCAAAGGCACAAAATATGTCAAAGAAGGTTTCTATTAAATATAGAAGTTTTTGAGACAAAATGTATGGAATAAGGATATTTAATATGTGAGGACTCACAAATTCCTTACATATTTCTCAAAAATTCCCTTTTATTTGAAAATTATTTGGAAATTATTATTTCATGTTATCCATGGTTCAATCACCCTAGAAAAGTGCCAATGACCATAGGAAATTAGGGTTTTCCTATTCATTTTCAATTCAAGGTGAAATCGGATTTTTTCGTGTAACCGCAGTATAATTATCCGGTACCGAGTAAGGATCAAATTTGGTGTTTAAGAGTGACTTTTAAGTGAGAAATAATATGTGATTAGAAGAAATGATAAAAAGTTAGTGAATTGGAAGTAAAAACCCTAGTACGTGCGATTTAATAGAAAACGCGTTACACCGACGTGTACCGTGCACTACCGATTTAACCTCCACTTGATCACCACTTTCTTACCATACAAGCTCATTACTAATTGACCAAAATATCTTCCCCCTCATGATTATCTCTTGACCGAAATTTGTGGCTCAAATGCAAGGAAAGAAAGAGAAAAATTTTGTGGTTGAGGTTAAACCAAGTGTTGGCCAAACTTGTGGTTAGAATTAATTCTTATCTTTCTACCTTCTTATAAGACAAACTAAGCTTAATCTTCCTCATTTCTTCTTCTTCATG